GCACAAGGTTTTCAGTTATAAAAGCAACACAGGAGGAACTTGAGGATGAACTCCGATGTTTTGTCCTGATTGCAATGCGGGTGTTTTGGAGGCGAATATGCTTTCTTCTTGGGGATAGTCGACCCATTGATCTCTCCAACTTGGTCCTTCGCCATCAATTCTCTAGCACTAGTGCTATGACCAACATCCTCAAAATCATCAGTTGCATCTTTCCCTGCAGAAAATAGATACCAGATGCCAATTGGAGTTACTAGTGGTTAGCAGTGGTATTATAATTCAGACTAAAACTAATAGAAAGTTGTATCCTTAACTGAAAGAAAAACCAAAAAGTTCCGAGTTACCTGTTGCTGACAATAAAACTTCATCACCACCAGGATGGTCTTCCAAGAAATTTGCCACATCATAAACCTGTCTCAAAAATTTTAGATGGACACCGAGATAAAGCAAACGGTAGAAAAATTGGGATTAGTATTAACCTGCAACAACAGTTTATCACAAACAAAATACTTAATTATAATTCCAAAATTCAAAAAATATTCTACCATGAGAATGTCATACTGGTTTACAGTTATTTAAACCAAAGCATGTAATAAGTTGAACTTTGATCTTCTCTAGGATCTGTCATTCCTTATCAAGTTTATTATCTAGTAGTTGAATGTGCAAAGTCTTTTTATTTAATTAAGAACATAACTGAAAATCAATAAATTTAGTAGGACATTAGATCATTAGTGACAAGAAAACTTGAGTCTCATGCCAAAAGTAATCTCTTTCTTTACTTTTTGGTCCAAAAGTAGCAAAAACTCTAAAACAACAAAAACTTTGGTGGCTGTTACAACTTGGAAGTTGCAGCTAAAATAATAGAAACTCACAACAGATGCAAAGTAGTTCTTTATAAACCTCAGTCAAACAAACCAACTAAAAAAGAATAGGCATCCAATAGCAGCAAAAATGAAGAAAATCCTGTAATTGAATATGTTGATTTTGCAAGAGCTTATGTACTTAAATGAGTATAGGATTATCACTAGAAATTTTGTATCAGTTAACTCAATTGTACACATGATCATCTAATGCATCTGAATCTGTTTAGTGTAAATTAGTCCCCATACATTTTCAATAATATAGTAGAGAATTGGCAAAGCTGAGGACAGAACTACATCCTTCCAGTCTTATCCTCAACCAAAAATATTTGAGTTGAAATTAGGTCAAAACCGAAACTAATTGATTTCCATATAAGCTTGCATTGTATATGCACAAAAACCTCTTGAGCTTAAAAAATGAGCTCTTCCTTTGAATGATTGATATATTTTATAAAAGAATACCAGAATTATGTATTGAATAGATCCAATTTCATGTCTCACGTTCTTCAGAAGATGCTTAGGCCTAATTTATATACCCACCTTGAACCATGTCACGTGAAAAGTTGAACTCTATATCAAAATGCAATAGGACAATTTATATAAATATAACAACATATTATCGTATAAGTAAATATCAACATAATTTGATAAACATATTTTTCACTTCACTCCTGCAAAAGATGTCAATTCACATGGCTTAAGAGACTTAACCAAAAGGAACAAAAGCAAGCAAAAACAAAGATTTTGATTACATCCAACCACTTCAATCATAATGCAAACAGGAGCAGGACATTGGATCAGAAAACACAGCCGTCATGAAACAACCAAAAGCAAAACCAAACACGGTATGGCTTCAATGACATCCACATCCAAAGGACTTAACAACCACAGAATACAAGCTAAAACTGTCAAGGACAAATTTGAAACCAGGATATAAATAGATCAAAGACTTCAAATCTCACCTTGGGAAACATTTTAAACCACAAAACCACAACATATCAAGCCAAAAATAGAAACAAAAATGACAAAAGCAGAAAAAAGATAAACTTGCCACCGATTGAGATAAACTTTTCTCTACCAAAAAAAAAAAAAAATCTAAGTTCTTCTACGATTGAAATATCTTACTATAAAAATAGAAAATGATTTTAGGATAATTTTTTTGTATCATCTTTTTAGATAACCTAACATGTTATTTAAAT